TAAATGACAAGCTACTATGAATTCAGAAATACTGAAATGAAGTTTGGTTTTATTCATTATAACAGTATTTACATATACTTGAAAAATGTTAAAACTTTGTTCAGTCTTTATTAAGAACAGGAAAGAAATTGGTCTTCAGAAAGTAGGATGTGCTTGATTGATTCAGACTTGGCAAAAACTCCTGTGTTCCCCAGGGCCTCTGAGCTCACAGGTGACTGGAAATCGCGTCTGCAATGTATAGGATATATATGCAGGGTATTATTATAATTAATTATTATAATTAAATGGGACCAAATGTTATAATAGTATTCATTTGAAATGGCATTCTGCCAACAGCGGGTGAATGTCTAAAACTATTTTCTCAGTGTACTTATTAAGCCTTTTCTCCCCTATCTGGTTTATTTAGAAACTAAGTCCAGATGGTCTCAAATATCTTGGTAATCATTTAAAGTTATTAATGCAACTGTATAGCCCTGAATTACACAACTGTTATTGCCAAAGCAATGCAATTTCAATCTGTTGGAGCATACCTTTTTGGAATTATTTTACCTTATTAATTATTGAATTTTATATCCCATACTCTTTCCTGAAGAACTCAATGCGGTGTTTTGAGGTGTGCATGGTTCCATTCAAAGAGCTGTGATTTATAGAGAATGTTAAAGCCTTAAGTTGTTCCACTTGGATTTCATGTTTAATTTTGGGGATGGAGGTAAATTTAGTAGCAACACTAATAGCTCTTGTTTTGTTACTCCCCGGAATTACAGACAGAAAGCTTATTTACATTTTGTGAGTGGAATTTTATAGTCTCATTCTGCTTATAATTTTGTTAACCTTTTTCAGAAAGAATGATTTTTTAAAATGAAATTAGCTACATTTTACTGATTTGGCATTAATCTTGGGCAGGTCAAAATAATTATCTTAATACCTCACATACATTGTCTATTTTAGCCTCATAACTCTCAAAGGAGATAGGTCATATTACAGGTGATCATCTGCAATACTAGAGAGTAACTTGTCCATGGTCTCACAGCCAGTAAGTGAAACAGTTGTAATGTGTATATAAATTTAACCATCTCAACTTTGTGGAAAAATAAATGGAAACAGTGTTACTTTGCTACTAATTCCATTTTTCAGATGTACTTTAAAAAGCCATTAAAAAAAAAAAAACCTCTAAATCCAAACAAGAACACTTTGTTCCTTTTATTCAAAGGTTACAAGAATGGTCTTTCTGCTGGGTCTGTCAGCTTCTAAGGATTGGGTACATCTACGCTGTGGCTAGTGAAAACAAGTAGTTTATAACACCAAAGGTCAAGGGTTTGGATCTCCGTACTGGCCAGCCACCAAAAAAAAGAAAAGAAAGAAAACAGGTAGTATAAGTTACGGTGACCACAGACTTGAAAGCAGAAGCAAAGCCTTGTGATTCTGTTTTTTCGTATTGGGAGTTCTTCCATTTGTCTCCTACCTTGACCACCGTAGCATATTTATCATATGAGTCATTTTTTTTTTTTTTTTGTCCTTTTTTTGAGACCGGCCGCACTGTGCTCAGCCAGTGAATGCATAGTGCACGGCCATCCCTTTATAGGATCCGAACCCGCGGCGGGAGCGCTGCTGCGCTCCCAAGTGCTGCACTCTCCTGAGTGCACCACGGGCTCGGCCCTCATATGAGTCATTTTGTTATTTTTTTCCCCTATATGCAGATAAATTATAGGACTTTTCTAATGCTGTAGCTGTCTCCCCCTGTTATTTTTATTTTTTTATTTTATTTTTTTCCTTTTTGTCTTTTTTCGTGACCGGCAACGGATCGCAACCCTCAGTGTCGCGCCCGTACCGGACCGGGACCGGCAACGGGATCGCAACCCACGGTGTTGCTCCCACACCTTGCTCAGCCAGTGAGCGGCTGGTCTGTATATGGGATCCGAACCCTCGGCGGGAGCGCCGCCGCGCTTCCCAAGCAGCGCACTGTAGCAGTGCGCCACTGGGCCGGCCCGTGTCTCCCCCTGTTATAAAAATAATATGCATGTTTACTGTAGAATTTTTAGGAAAGTATATAGAAGAAAATTAAAATAACCCATTATCCCACTACCCAGACAGAACTAGCATATTCCCTATTTATTTGTAAATGTTACATAAACAGAGTTGAGTTGATTATGTCATATCCCACTTTTTTCACTTGAAATTTCCTTTTTTTTTAAAAACAAATTTTTATTGAATCATGATTATACATATTTTTGGGGTTCAACATTGACATGTTGATCAAATCAATATTACTAACATACATTGTTACAAATCGTACTTATTCTTTATGCCCGTTGTCCAATCTCTCCCCATCCCCCTGTTCTTCCCCCCTCCCCCCTCTAATTATCCTAGACTTCTTCTCTCCTTCTTAAAGAATAATGGTTACTCTGTTAATTTGTTGCCTAGATGATCTGTCCAATGCTGAAACGTGTGTTCAGGTCCCCCAATATCTCAGAGCAGATGCTTCTTCTGTCACTCTGGAATGGGCTTTGTGGAGAGTGACATTCTCTTCTTTGATCTCTGCTGGTGACTCTCGTGTCAATGCGGCTGGCGGACCATCTACGTGGTGGTTGTGGCATCTAGCTGCTTTTGTGGCAGCTGTGGTTATTGTGGTGGCTGTGGTGGGCCACCCACATGCTGCTTGGCGCTGGTGGTGTGCCTTGTTGTGGGGTGGGGTCTGGTCCATGACTCCAGACCTCAGGTCCCTGGGCAGCCCTGAGGTGCTGGTGGTGTGCCTGGGCCAGAACTAATTTTTTTGTCCTTCTAAAATAGGAGAACTTCCTGTGGGGACCAGTACTTGAGCTGTGTGGTTTAACTAAATTGCTGCTTTACTGCTGATTCCCTAGGGAAGGATTTTTGTGCAGCTCAGGTTTTAATGGTTGACCTTATAAGTACTTCCAGCTCTCCAGAGACCTGATGCACCTGGGTTGTGTAGAAACTCTGATCTGGGCCTGAGTCTTTTCATCAAACTGCAGCCCATGCGTCTCTGCATTCCCAATCAGTCTCCTCTGAGTGGTCCTGCTCTGATTGGGGGCAGATCAGCTGTCCTTGCTGTGCCCCAGTGTTCCCCCAGTGGGCCTATCTCCCCTACTGTACATGCTGCAAACACTTCCCATGGGACTAGCTGTGCTCTGGTCCCTTGCGATAACTCACTGGCCTCCGAGCAGCTCTTTTTTTTGTTTTTAGCTGTTCTGGCTCCTCGCTCCTGTGTGGGTCCATGGGAACCCTATTAGTGGTCTTACTGTCCTGGGGGCCACCAAGGCCCTCTTTTACCCTGCCGCCTCTAAGCAACTCCATCTGAAGGGCACAGCTGCGGTTTTTGCCGGCTCCTGCTCCATGTACTCAGCAGCTCCAGCCTTAGAGCAGCAGCTGCACAAAATGGTTGGAGTGTTTTTTCTTCCTCTCATCATGGCTTCTCCCACCTTCATGCACTCAGTAGGTCTCTCCTCTTCTTCCCCTGAGCTCTAGTGGCCCCAGCTTGGCTGTTGTTGGATTTTTATAGTTGTAAATTGGTTGATTTGTGGGAGAGAGTGATGCTGGGGACTGTCTCTTGTGCCATCTTGACCAGAAGCCTCACTTGACATTTTCTATTGTCATTAAAAAGTCTTGTAATGCATGGCAAATGATTACATAATATTTAGCCATGTGTACATATCATAATTTGTTTAATCATTCCTTTATTGTACATTTAGGTTGCTTCTGCCAACTCATAAATGGAGACATTAAGTTTATTTATTGACTTTTTCGCAGCTAGCCAGTGTGGGAATCCAAAGACATTAAGTTTAGATGCTTTCTTTATGCTTAATTGTTCTTGTGTATCAGAGCACTGATGCAGCTCTTAGAGAGTACAGTCAAATGAAAAGCTGGTGGAATTAGTGGAAAGAGACACCAAGGGATGGCCCGGCCTCTTTCCCCTGTTCCTTTATGACTGGCACAAAGTTTGTTTCTTTTATATAAAACAAGCTTCTCCAACACTTTGTGGAAAACTGCCTTTGTTTATAGATCCGAGCACATCTTGTATTTCTTTAGGAATAGATCCCTGGAAATTGAATTTTTATAACAAAAGACCTGAAACTGAGTGATTTAGAAAGGAAAAAAAAATTATTGCTTACAGTTTTGGAGGCTGGCAAGTCCAAAGTCCAGGGAACACATCTGGTGAGGGTCTTGGTGGTGGTGACAGTGACACAGGGTATCACATTGTGAAATGGTAGAGCAGAGAGAGAGAGAGAGAGACATAGTCTCCTCTCTCTTCTTTTAAAGTCCTCAGAACCACGCCCCTAACCACCGTTCTTAATGCATTCACTATGGCATGGTCCTACAATCTAATCACCTCTTCAAAGCTCCACCTTCCGATTACCATAATAGGACTTCCCACCCTCTTAACAGTCACAGTGTGGGCCATGTTTCTAATACATAAAACTTGGGGGACACAATTCAAACTTCCGTGAGTTTGGGGGGGCATAATTCAATCTGCTACAAAGGCTCTGGATGAACATGGCTAGATTATTTTCCTATAATATACTGATTTTTGTTTCCATCAGAAGTGAATGAGAGTTCAGGAATCATACCCTGAGCTGCATTGACTATAACCTTGTTTAGCTATGCAAACATTTTCTTGCCTTAATTAGCATTTCTAATATTACTAGTGAGATTAGAACTTTTGTTTCTTAAGTTTGATAGTCATTTTATTTCTTCTGAGTTGTCTATTCATTTTTTCTTTCTTTTTCTATAAGAATTAGTGATTTTCTCATTAGTTTGTATGAGAGTTTATTAGGATATAATCTTCTGTCAAGGATTTTTTTTTTTTTAGGACTAGCTGATATCTATAAGACATAATTATCTATCCAGTTTTCTCGTGTCAACTAGCCTGTGAGATCTTTTTCCCTAGGGTCTGTATGCTGACTGGTCATAAATCTAACTAATTCTGTTTTTGTATAATCTGTTTTGAATAATGTTAAAATATCCTTTTTATCCTTCCAGAAAGAAGAAATTATGTAAAGCATTCACTATCGAAACTTTAAGGTCAAAGGTGAGAAGGAAGTTCAGGAAGAACATGGCCTGGCCAAATCTTTTTCAAAGAGGAACTCTGCTTTCCCAGTTCAGCCAGCATCATGTTGTTGTGTTCCTGCTCACCTTCTTCAGGTAAGTGGATTGCTAAAGTTGTTTTCTTGCTTTATTTTGTTTTTCTTTTGAGGGTGATACTGTGTCATGAGTTTCTAATAAGCTGATTGGCATAGGCTTATAATGAAATAGATAGATTAATCCTTCTGTTGTACTTTTGATAGCTCTAATGCAGTAGTTCTTGAGGGCTCGTTTTACCCTCCAGGGGACATTTGGCAATGTCTGGAGACATTTTTGGTTGTCACGATGGGGGGAGGGGTGCTACTTGCATGTATTGGTGGGGACCAGGGATGCTGCTAAACATCTGACAGTGCATAAGACAGCCCCCTACAACAAAGAATCTTTTGGTCCAAAATGTCAATAGTGGGGAGGTTGAGAAACCCTGATCTAAAGAGGAGTCCTCTATTTGTTAAAACGAGTAGCTTGAGAACAAAGGATGTGCCTATTCAGGGAATGCTCTGTGCCTCCTTACGCAGTAAAGGTGGTATGAGACAGTTGTGAGAGACTCTTACCTCCTGCAAGATCCCTGAGTGTTAGCAGTCCTTGACTAGTCGGAATGACTGAAGAAATCGTCCATGTGTGTGATTCTATAGCCCTGAGTGGTTCTCTTTAGTAACATAGCAGAAATCAGGCTATTTGATGTTAGGGGCATGTTACAGGGGTACTTAAAAAAGTTTGTGGAAAAGTAGAATTGAAAACTAATACAAATCTTTCCATGAATTTTTTGAAGTACTCCAGTATATGTAACCCTGTTACTCAACTATTTTGATATTTCTTATTTCTTCTGAGTAGATTTTATTATTATTCTTTACCAAAGACACCAAAAATGATGACATTTTTTTTTTTTTAAGGCAGGATGCTTGGTGTAGGGGCTGTCCATTTGTCAAGGGTGTGGGGCAGGCGTCAGTATGAGGAAAAGACAGCCCCCAAGAGAACAGTTACTGAATGGCTAATGCTGTGTGGCCAGGGTTGCTAGAGACTTAAAATTCTTCACGGAACTGCAGCCATGATTTGAAGTGGGTTGGGATCATTCACATGTTCATCTCCTAGTTCCGGGGATAAGTTATGGGTGAACATAGACTTACGATGAAGACGACTAGTTATTTTTTTCTTTTTACTTAGTGGAGACAGTCTCGGTTGATAGATCTTATAAAGCAGTACTTTTTCTTCCCTCCCACCCCTCCTTTTTTTTTTTTTTTAAGAGAAGAATTCTAAAATGGAAGAAAACAAATGGACATATATCTGTGATTTTATTGAATGCCATTTTCTATGTTATTCATTCAGCTTTATTTCTTCTCTCTATTTTGTAGTTATTCATTGCTCCATGCTTCAAGAAAAACATTTAGCAACGTCAAAGTCAGTATCTCTGAGCAGTGGACCCCAAGTGCTTTTAACACGTCAGCTGGATTGGCTGTAGAGGTGAGCAGAATGAAGTGCTGGATGGATTTAAGAACTGGACCATGACTGCCCCTAAAGTCTTCCTAAGTTCTTCTTTTTATTTTAAAGATGACCGGTAAGGGCATCTTAACCCTTGACTTGGTGTTGTCAGCACCACACTCTCCCAGTGAGCTAACTGGCCATCTCTATAAAGGGATCAAACCCATGGCCTTGGTGTTATCAGCACCGCACTCTCCCGAGTGAGCCACAGGCCGGCCCCCTAAGTTCTTCTGTTTTGTATCATTCACCTGCCTAGGGCTCTGAAATGCCTTACTGTTTCCCATTGTATAAATCCAAACTATTCTGCTGATTTCAAAGCCTGTTCTGATTCAGGCCCATTTTCCTTCTCCAACTGGCTTATTTCTCACTGTTTTGAAATCATAGAATTCTAGCTAGGCTATTTTTCCATTGAGTTTCATAAATACCTTGCTTGTTTCTGCCTTTGAGATTTTGCTCATTATCTTTTATATGCTGTTTCATCTTTTCCTACCTGTCTAAATTTTGCCTTTCCCTTTGTGTCAAGATAAAATGGCACTTTTGTTGTTGTTGTTGTTGACTGGCTGGTACAGCGATCCTAAACCCTAATCTTCGTAATATAACACTGCTCTGGAACCAACTGAGCTAATCAGCCAGCCTCAATGCCACTTTTTCAATCAAGTTTTTTTCCAGCTTGTACTGATTTTTCCCTTCTCTTAATTCTTGTACACGGTGTTACAAAGTTTAATGTCTCAGTATTTCAGACTGGCTGGTTAGCTCAGTTGGTTTGAGTACAGCCTTTATAACACTAAGGTCATGGGTTTGGATCCCTGTACTGGCCAGACCCCCCCCCCCCCCCCCCCCC